TCTAGCCTATGTTCGTTCGCGGACGGAAACAGTGTGCCCGCAAAGTATTCAGAAATTCTGTTTCGAAGTAGTGGGTGGAGATTGCTTTTACCCGTTTTTCCCTACCTTTTTTGTTTTTGTTTATCTCACTGAGAAACAATTATAATCTTCGCGAATGTGCAACAGTGCCAAAACCTGGGTACTCACTGTTTCTTGCCAGCCGTAGTATTATACGTACGAATTTGACCTTTTTTTTTTTCTGTCGGCACAGTGGATATGATCCGGCAATGCAGGTACCTGTTCAACTCTGCCAGGATAAGTGGCTCTATATTGCAGCCACTTCTGACGGTAGACTGCTTGTTGCATTTGTTGATTGTGCTGTCTACCAGTGCGCATGTGTACACAATGGACAGCAAATTGAAAGTATGTATATATAGATATATTCTAGACTTAGACGCGTACGTAGTTGTCGAAACGACACAAGCAAGTCTGTCTGCCTTTCTGTCTGCATCGATGAGAAGTTAATGATCTTGTTGGCCGTTAGCCTAAGGCCGCAGGCACTGGCTCAAAAGGTAGAAGGATAAAGAAGAAATAAGCACGGATGAATGTGCGAGTGCGAGAGAGAAAAGCACTATCAAAGTCGTCGTATCTAATGGAGCGTTGTACATTACTTTGCATCCAAGTGTTGTAGCTTACATCCCGAGCCCTCGAAGGGCTGGAGGAGCCGGCAGTTGCTGCCAGCCGGTGATACTCGTGATGTTGGTGCCAAACGGGTCCACACGGTGAGTCCAATTGTCCTAAGTGCCTTGATAATATCCCTCGCGGCAGCCTTCACTGCAAAATGTGGGAGCCCCTGATGCAGCTGAAGAATAGATCAGTTTTTGGCGCTGCTACGGTTAGCAGAATCAACAACAGCAACACGCGAAGTATTATCGAACGTTGCCGTAGGGTCGCGATAGAGTTGCGGAGCGAACAACACGAAGTTCGTAATGCTGCTGACGTGCCCGCGGCCTCAGTGTCCTCATCGATTCGACGATTTGCACAGTTCGTTGTGAGCTTGCACTAGGAAGTTGACTTCACTGCACGCTTGATCGCCTTCGAAAGCGACGCTGGCGCTCCCAACGATACGATACAGCTAATATTGACTTGGTTAGGTGCCTAAAGTCGATCTATAGTGTGGCAGACACGCCTGAGTGAATTGTTATTCATACGTCCATTTCTGATGTCGGTGATTTTTGGTTGATCAAACGGTAGCAGTATGGTACCGTTTGTCTCGCCCCGTTGCCCTAGTTACGTTCCAAGACAGCTAAGTTGTCAGGAACCCTCACGGGGCAGACAGGCTTCCCAGGGACTTGTCCATGTCTATCATACAATACAAGTGGCAGTGATGGCGCGCATTCCAAATCAACGTTTGCTCAATTGACGTTAAACAGACATTTTTTTTTAGAGAATAACACATCCGACACGTCAACAGTACTAGCGGAACTTATCAAAGTTATCATTAGGCCAGAAGGTGCGAGGAAGTTGACATATGAAGTTCCAAATTATTTGTGGCAATGTATATATAGATATAGATCGACTATCTTGGTCACATGTGAAAATTAATTTGTTATCTATTAAAAGGCAATTCTAAAAGGTAGCTATCTGAAGCAAACGGCGTGTTCCTTTCTGTTCTCGAGTATCGAGAAGCGTATATCAGATGGAACACTCAGTTGGTCGACCAGCTATTTTGACTATATCCAGTGTTGTCCTTTTACGTCGCACCTCATCATCATAGTCGCGCTTAGCTATTCGGAAGAGACGACGAACTGTGCAGGCTGCGATCTCTACTTCGTCTGTCTGTCTGTCATGAATCGCGACTGTAAATCAACTCTACAGATGGCGAACCTGTAAAGACGCGTTTACGAGCCGCCGCTGCTGCCGTTCTTGGCCACCAACACAACGAGACGGACAGACGGGTGGAAACTACTAGCTGAACACCAGTTCAGCTCTTGACGAACAAAGGAAGGAAAAGGAAGTAGACGAAGAAGACGGGCACGACAGTGAAAGCCCCACAAAACGCAACAAACAACCCCGTAACTCGTAAGCAAGTAAACCCTTGGCGCCAACTATAGCCTAAAATGCATCCATTACCTCCTAGCTTTGTTTCAATCTCTGTAGTTTTACGGGCATGCTGGACTACAACCTGATCGAAGCGGTCGTTACCGGATCCTGATGGAATTGATGTATTTATTTTGTCCAACTCTGGGCGACTTGTGGTCATGAACGTTAACTCGAGTTGAGAGGACGAGAAAAACCGGGGAAACGACGGCTGCTGGCTTAGCAAGGTTATAGAGTGGGAAACGGTAGTGTTGCTGGGGCTACCAAGTCCTAAATAGAAGCGGAGCGTCGAGAGCGTGTGAGGTAAGAAAGCACGGGGATCGAGAGCGCAAGGTTTTACTATAACTATTTCTCCACCTTGCCCTAGTCGTTATTTGTGATTCTTCAGATGCCACTGGCGCGGCTCCTGTTGCCGCTCGATATTGTTCAAATATTTTATTTCACATCAACAACTGCAGTAGTTACCAGCCGAAAGTAACAATCTATGTCTTCATTGTAGACGGCCACTTCTGCTGGCCCATTGTGGGATTAGTCTGTTTCCTTGTCGAGTAGCTGTAACGGGAAAATAACTGCGAGGAAAATGTGCAAACATAGAAAAAAATAACAAATATCTAAACTGTGTATATAGTACTGCAATTTTAAACCGCTGGCCATGTCTTTCAGTCCCTTATGGACAATGTTAAAGTCGTCTTGCGTATATTTGCTTGCCGCTCAGCGCTGACCACCTCAGTTGAGCGTATCACAGTTGCGCAACCTGACCCATAATAATGGCTCTATGTACCCTTGCATGTCGGCCACACCGAGATAGCTTTTTCTCCGAGAAGCATCATGTTCTGTGCATCTGTCAATATTAGTGATTGCTATAGACTAAACAATGCTAAGGGACCTCGAGGGGAGGAGTCGAATTTCGAGAATTGTTGTGTTTTATCGTTCAATGCGTATCCTTGTGGTCCTGGCCAGGTTCGCTACCCCTTCAGAGTTTTCCCGCATACGCTAAAATAGATACGGATATTGCATTCTTTCAAGACTGAGGGTATAACTGGTGTAGTTGCTCGATGTGAAGCTTAGTACCCGAAACTAATAGCAGTGACTTCAGATCTAAGGACGCAATAAACTCAGCAATATAATCGGACAAAAAAGATAGGTTTAATTTATACCCCAATTGTTAGATGTATCGTGTTTTAGGTACAGCTTTTGGCAAACTGGGCTTTGCAGACGTATGAACATCGCAAAACCAATGTCACATAATTAGCGTATTTTTAGTAATGATGAAAGGGAAAACTTTCATCATTACTAAAAAGGGAAACTGAGTTTTGTACATTAGTCTTTTGTAGTGCCAAAATATTTACATAAAGCCTGATTTGCAGGTCCTTGAATCGTACACATCGTTTGCCGTGGCACGTGGACCTCTTTCTCGAACATTAACTTGTAGATTACATAATAAGTGCACAATGAGACCTCGCCATGCTTATAGTTAGCCTATATGATATAACACAAGTAGTTTTGTTGAAAATCTATATACGCGCTATTTATTACCGATGTCTTCAGTGGCTGCCCGCGCTTGACGCAGTCATAACTAGAGCCAGCCCTAAAATCTAGAGAACAAACGAGGTCGTACACCTCTCTACTTGTTCGTTCGTTCATTCATTCACCTGAGCTTGTGATTGAGCTCAACTTGAATTTGTTCATATGGCAATGGCCTGTGTGATGGTTGTGACGACGTGTGTCTAACCGTTCATCCATGTACCGCCTGTTTATGCCTGAAACTTAGCTGAACAGCAATAGCCCTCAGAGTTGACCAGGCATGGCAAGAAATGTGTGCTTACGGCAATAAATCGTCTTTGTCGGTATAAAATTTGACTTATTGCCCTGCGCCACAGAGACCTCCTGACCATCTCAGCTTCGCCTCTGATAGCAATGAACCCCCCGCTTCGACCATTGTATCAACTGCAGCAAGATCTAATACTTATTATGGCAATCATTCGGCCTCCCATACTGCCACCGTACTGTACCCCAAAACCTTCGCAAATATTCTCACATATAAAATTTACGGTTTTACTTATTAATTTTATTTTTTTTTAATCTAATTGCATTTTTTTATGTGATCCGATCTATAAGTAAACATCGCATAACGATAATCTTTGGGCTTGGTTGTTAGTTTGCGTTGCGCGCGATTAATCCTCTGTAAAGACGATGAAAATCTATAGACGATCTGACTACAACAACCCAGTGTCTTTTATATCCATATTCTAGCCTCGGAAGTCAACAGTATCGTATCTACGAAGAGCGTTGCAGCGATTGGTATCAGGTTTAGCGTTTGAGTTTAACCCACTAATAAGCTGTTTGCGTTCCATTGGAGTACCTGTAAAATATATTGAGTGGTATTAGCCGGCATTTATTTATGTGTCCCACGCATCGGAATTAATTATGAAAAATTGTTTTCAAGTAAGCCGACTGAGACCATTTGAAAGCTGAACCCCTTCATTACTTCACAGAATCTTCATATATATGTACGTACTATAGTTGTTCAATAGCGAAAAAGATGTATGGTTCCATTTAGAGACTAGTAAATTTTGCAAACGATTTTGGCTCAGTACCTATATGAAGAGCACTTGATGATTTAAAATTTATTGGTTATTACGTTGATGAACAGCTGATCCACTATCAGGTTTATTCCACTAGAGAGCGTGGGTATCTACGTTCTTAAAGTCACCGTATCTCTATTGCTTTCGCCATGACGTCCCAGATTTTTGAGAAAGTAAAAAAGGAAAATGTCATAGGTAGATAACGCTACCCTTTAGAGATTCAGACGGCTGAATGCTACCAGTCATAACAATATCACAGACAGACTTTTATAAGAAGAAGCCTAGACAGACCTGGCTAACATAGGTTTTGTTTCTGCGGGCTCATTGGATTTCCAGCAGCAGCGGTCATAGGCTGCCGCATTCGTCAATATCTTCTCTCAAGCGAAGTTTAAGCCCTCCACTCATCCCCAATGGACTTGTGCCTAAGAAAAGTCGAGATGAACACCTTTTTGAACTCAACGGTCATGGTACGTATATTCTGAAATTCCTAAATGCCGTTAACAAACCAAATGTAGATCCTTCTTAAGAACCGATGTATTGATGACTCGAAGCTTGATATCCGTCGATGATAATAGTACTTAATGTCATCACGCGAAAAAGGTTCCTATCATTTATAGGCAAAATTTACCAGCTCTTTGTTTATAGACTAAGTACGGATACGAAGTACGTCTTTAGGACAAGTAGGTAAGTGTACGTATTAGTCCGATTTTTTTAAGTTCCGAGTAAGTCTATGGGAATAAAGTACAATGTTGGGTTGTTCACATCGACTTCAACCATTGACGACACACGTATTATAGACGAGCAGACAAATATTTACACACGTATATATAGTTTGGTTTTAGTATTAGGTAAATACACAAGCATCTCCAGCCATACTTTGATTAGAGATATCTAACCAACCTTATACGTGCAGGATTGAGTTCGAAGGAGAATACGTATCTATGGTTTATCGGTTTATATATGTACAGGCAGTTCCATCCCCCTCAGTACAGCCGACTGCTGAATGCTTATGTTGGATGGAGGAGAAAAGAAGCTGGCCCGCTACCTGGTCGATCGTAAGGCCAGCCGTGCCAGAGTAAGCACTTAAGCTATTGAATTTCATCACTACGAGAATGAAACCTGCCTGTCTAGTTGTGGTGTAAGAAAGGTGGCGCTGCAGTGCCGTTTTATATTCGATAACGAGAGATCAGTCATCAGACGGAGGAGAGTTAGCGGGGTTGCGGGGGCGTCAGCTCTGAGTGAGAAGTTGCTGGCCTCTGAAGGGACGGCCGGTGGTGGTCGAGCCACTCGGGGATCTGAATCGGAGGAGGAGGAGAAGGAAGAGCAAAGCAGAAAAGTTTGAATTATTGCTGGCGAAATTAAGTCTGACATTAGTCGTGGCCAAGCTCATAGCCGTCGTTGTCATTTTCCTCACCCCCTTACATCGACACGTTCATACATGCCGGTATGCATCGCGAGTGATGGCTCAACTGCGCTCTAAACTTGTGACGATAGATTTATCTAGAGTGACTAGCTAAACCAGGAACGAGATCTGGCATCAGAGAAGCGAGATGCAAAGATAGATATCGAGGTGTGAACAAGTCGGAAAGTAGTTACCCTTGATCTTTAGTTTTCCCCACCACATACTCTATTTCGATCGTTCGCTTTCTGCCGCTTGGGATACGCCGGGATTAGGCGGCGTAGCGTTTCCCGGTCGGCACCAAAGTTGAAGCAAATCCGTCTGTCTAGGTTTCACGTTCTCATTCTTGCTCGATATGTCCGCCCGATTTGGTTTATGCTTTCGAACAGCTGAAATTTTTGCCGCCACAGAGAGCAGAAATGGCAGCGAAAGAAGAGGGTATGTTACTGTTCTCCAAAGCCAAATAAGGGGGCAAAATTGGGCAAGACGAGAAGCGTTTGCGCATCGGGACCTTGCGCGTGCTTACTTATGCCCCCCCCCCCCCCCAAAAAAAAGAAAAAATGAAACGAAAGTGGCCAAACTTAAAGTGCCTTCCTCACTTTTTTCGCATTGCCTTGCTAGCGTTACAGGGCCGCGTTGAAGTAAACGACTTTTTAGAAGCACTCTAGTCAAAATGCGAGTGAGATGGCAAGGTAAGCAGAGAACTCGAACGGATCGAAGCGAAGAAGGATTTGCTTCAAAAATTGGCCTTTGGTTTTAATCAATAGTTGGTAATAAAAGAAGACTACTATAAATGGAGAAGCAAAATGATCCTGACAAAGCAAGGCTAGAATATAAAAAGGGGCGGTGAACAACAAATAGGGGCAATGCTATTTTATATTGGCAAAAAACAAAACTGTATTAGTTGACAAAAGTGCTTCCAGGTGATTAAAAGGGTTATAAGAGGCAGGACATAAGCATACATTACATACTGTGTAATAATCCGTCCTATCAGCTAATAGCAGAATGCAACACAAATATAAAAATAAAATTTACGGTTAAATACACTATCTTTCTGTAGCTAGATAATCCGTAAGTAAATATTTTGTTCTTTATAGTGAGCATGTCCGAAACCGGGTTTGTTGATATTGCGACCTCGGTACAAACTAGACCTAGGTAACATAGGTCCGTAAGCTTTTGCTCCTGTTTTTTTATCCCGTTTGCTCATATTGACACGCACCGTTCCCTTCATGTCAATATTTCTGATATCAAAGCATACTTCATATGTTAAAGACTCTTAGAAACACTTAGGAGAACTATCGGTGCCGTTCCAAGTATCAAGATCCTCAAGCCAGTAATTTCAATTTTGCATTGGCTAGAAAAGATTTCTAAATATGAGATTTTTCCAGGAAAAGTACCACAATTCGACAGATGATTTCAATCAACATTTTGAGTTTTCTCGGCGTCGAGTTGGCCGTTTCACTGCACCTAATACAAAAGCTCAATATCTATTCTTTTTTTTTTTTTTTTTATCTACCCTGGACTGTTGTTTAAGTCACGCTAGGATTGCATAGTGTAATCGGTCTTGAAGAATAGCACAGGTTAAGGAACGCCGGGTAGCATGATAAACAGCGTAAAAATTAGTGCTAGACAAATATACTGGTTCTGTTGTCTGAATTTGAACCGTTGTATAAATCGACCGGGATTAGTTGGGTCTTTATGCTTTCTCTCTACCTTACGCTACTCACCCACCAAAGGATCGAAACGTGAACATCGAGATAAAGAAGGAAAGAAAAGTCTGAGCTTTAGCTTTGAGGATAATGTAGCGGCAAAAGCCTTTCACAAACTGAAATGAAACTGTGTGCAAACGACGCGCTTTAGAAGCTAAGTCGCTCGGCCCCGTCGCGTCGGAATATAAGAAGGCTAGTAGCATTTATCATATTCGCTTCCTTTATAAGCTCTCAAATTAGCTTCGATTTTTTGGCGGTCTCCCTTTAGCTGCATAAGTAGGAAAAAGAAAAATGAGGAGAAAATCCTTTTGGGCCTACTCGGGTGGGGGCACCCTGTAGTGTTAGCCATCCGTCTCTTAAGTACGCACCTTCGACCCGTCGCTCCAGACTGAAAAGGACGTCGAAACACAGGCGAAGCTCGTTGATGGAGATTACGTATCATCGCACGAGTGTGATTCACACATGGATACGGCACTTTGGACCGTGCCTCTATTGGTGTAACTCAACCGGCATTGAACTTATAATACACAATCTGTGTTATATTAGTATTGATTCACGAGATTTGCACTTGTGAAGTTTAGTGTGATTCCGCCGAAGCGTACGATATCGCTTTCGGGTCGAATAGCTTCGGCGTAGATTTCATCACGCCTTCCGATGCGCGCGCTAAAGATTCGTTGTCTTGGCACGCAGGTCCGTTCTTCTCTTCTTCGCAATGCCCTGTTCCTCCAGTTCCTAAAGTTACCCCCCATGTGACTTTTAGGATGTATATACGCCTTGTAAGCCATCTTTTCCCCATGTAGCAAGCGGCTCAGAAAGCAAGCAACGAATAAGCTGCGCTTTTAGCGCACTTGCGAATGGAAAGTATGACAGGAGGAGCGACAAGGGTCATATCTACTACAACTACCACTACTAGCTGAAAGATGAGAACAGAAGAAAAAAGTCAAACTTTGACGGGAGTGCCAGGGGGCTGGATACAAGGGTGTGGTGGGGAAAGTAGTAGCTGGATGGAGGTGAAGGCCAGCAAGGAGGCTAAGATGGTGGTGGATCAAGAAAAGAGGCTGTGAAAACGCCGATCCAGAAGGGGTACGCGCTATAAAGGATTCAATTACCCTTGTATAGTGCACCGCCATACTATGTGCATATATCTGCAGACACCCTCACCAGAGGCACACCCACACATTTCTAGTACACGGCTCATATGATAGGCCAGTTCGCCTACACCGAATAGGCAAACAGTCAAGGGAAATAGCCGAATATAACTGCTAGATTCTGCTTTACATCCGTACCCAATGAACCCATGGCTCTGCAAGTCAAAATTGTAGTGGCAGCACCTAGAGAAAGCTCGTGTCGGAATAGGGGGTTGTGAAAGAAAGATGTTTAAGGCAGGGGTGGGGGCGTTGTCTTTGGTTAACGAGTTTACTACTAACGCGTATATACTACAAGGAAAAGGCGGAAAGGAAATTATATAGACACTACGGCCAGCAAGAAGCTACAAAGCGAGAAATATGGCCGAGGGTAAGGCAGGAATCAGGTTTGTTTCTTTGGATATTGCTCCAAAAACTTCCACTTATTCGACCATTCGTTTGCGATATAGGTGGTGAAAAAAGCGTACGGCACTCGTTTTTAGCTGACTTTGTAAAAAAATGATCATGATTATGAGAGTTGTGCTAAAGCTTCCTTGATGCGACCTTTTCGCTTGATTGTGCGCATGAGTAAGACAACTGTTCATTCACGACAACATACTGTAATAGTAAATGTTGGATACGAACGCTGGGATAAACATATTCAAATTATAGATACCTAATCCCTATTGGGTCGATAAAAGAGAAACTAGATTTTTATCATTGCAAGTTAGAGAGGTTGTTTCGTATCTGCTTCGCCCATAATTTATTAATGAATGTGCCGCATAAATTCGTTTCAATAACTTATTGTGAATCGGCATTTTATAATCCTTGAACCTCTTCCAATTCGTCTCATTTCTAAACTAACAGTCTCTCCATCTAGAACATCAGCACCCGAAGTCGTCACTATAGATAGGAGTCTTTTTCTTCAAGGAAAGGAGGAATAAGGCTGACTGATTGACGAAGAAGATATTGGCGAAATCGAAGTGAGAGGCCGAATGGAATAGAGGAATCGAGATGCTGCTCCATCATCTGTTCCTACTCTATACCTAGCCTCCCGCGGTATCTCAAATGTGCCGTCATTGCTGCGCGGTGAGGCAGTTGTGTGTATATACAAAATATATACGGCAGTTGTGGCTTGCCTCATATCGAACCGTATTGGATATCGAGATACTCACTCGATATATTTTGGCTGCTTGGGTAGCTAAGGTGGGTATATTGGCAAGGAATTTGCAAGG